TTTTCTTTTTGTAACTTAACAAATATTTTTTCATCCCTTAGTGTGTAGATACTTATACGTAATAATCACGCAAACCAGTTTAATAAGAACATGGACTATTCTTATTAACAATTATTAGTTTTTACTTTTCGGTTAACAATGGAGAAACTTAAATCTATTTTGGATATTGTTATTTTCTTGTGTGCAATACGTAGACACTTTTTTATTTGTTTTCATGCCTTAGCAGATACCGGTACACGCAGTGAAACCCTTTTTATATTTTTCCAGCTTAAATGAAACATAAGCCAAGATTAATTAACTAACTGAAAATGAAATTCATCCCTTTTAATAATTAATAGTTTTTATTCTTCTTTCTCTTCCCAGAAAAAAGATAATTAGTCTAATTACTCTAATGCTCCTAATTTAAAAGTGATTACTGGTTTCTCAGTTACCGAAAAAAAAAACGTTTCACATTACGAACAGGTATTAGTCAACGTCATTATTACATTTTCGCGCCTTCTTCACTTGAAGAAAAATTATAGTTGGAAGTCAGCAGAAATGTCGGGGGTAGTTATTTCAACAGCTACTTTACATTTTAATTTTGCTTACTACAGGACAGTGTCCTTGTAAGATTATACATAAAAAACATTAGCTTATTTTGCAGGTATCACTACATAGTATAAAACAAAGTCGGTTTTCCGCTGTCTGTCCCTATGTATGCTTAGATCTTTAAAACTACGCAACGGATTTTGATGCGTTTTTTTTTTAAGATAGAGTAATTCAAGAGGAAGGTTTATATGTATAATACATGCATAATATAGTACGGAAACACTGATATTTTAGAGGTTTCTAATGTGATGTCGTAAATAAACACATTTTTTACGCTTACATTGCAAACGCTGGATGAACCCTAGGAGATAGATCAAAATAATGTACTACGATATTGTACATCTTAAAAGGGTCTACAAAAAAGTCCGAGATGGTATATGTGTGTCTCTTAGGGATAACCCACAATAACCATTTTTTATCCTTTACTTTTTAAGAGAAGTAATGGCTTATTTTCGAAGCGATTTTAAGCAATACAGCATTAATCCTTATCCAATTAAGTACTTTTGAATACATTATGCATTTAATATATATCAATATGGCCCTTTACAACATGTAATTTAAATGAATATTTTCGTAGATATTACAGATTTAAAATGCAGGGACATAGCGGTTGCGGTGGTACCGGCCGGGAGGCCGCTTTGGTATTGTCTAATGACAAAAAAACTGTGACTGTTGTATATAAAGACATTCTGTAGTATATTTAGTATGTTCAGGGGGTATCTTTTGAAGATTTCCCTTTTTCGATAATAATCTAAACAAAACAAAAATATACATATTTAGTATCAGCATTGCACCCGTGCGAAGCTGGGGCGGGTCGCTAGTTATA